AGAAGCCACCACTGTATTCACAATGAATGTTTCAGAACAGTGAAACTGGAAATTTCAATGAAAACAAAGAAACAATGCCATAATTATGTATATCTTTATAACTTAAAGTGCTGAATTTAACAGTGTCACTGTGCACAATATTTACAGTTTAATGGCTGTAAAAAGAAATTGTTTTTAATAGACCAACCCCTTCAGAGCATTTATTTGAGTGATTGTAGTAAATTGTAGTTATTGTGTGGGATCACTTGGTGGTGCTGCTGTTGGATTTAGTGTTTTCTCTAAATGATGCAGATAGTGAGGTCAATTTTTCTTGACAGAGACAGAGACTCACGGCTCCTGGTTAGCAATATTTCCATGCATGTGATTCATTACAGACGTGCAGTCAAAGCAAAGAGGAGAGGAGGTGACACATTTAATTTAGTGGAGAGCTCACACACAAACACACACATTCACAAACAGCACTTTGTAATGAAGAGCATGCCGTCCAGTGCCAGTTGTATTGACAGACAGAAAGCTCTCAACTGCGATTAGAATCCAGACACACAAATAGGCAGACGTACTGTACAGTATAATACATATACATATATATATATATATATATATATATATATATGTATACGTATGCATGTATAAATGTTTACCTAACAAAGATCTTTGGTTGTGTTACTCATTTTATTTTATTTTCAGAACTTTAAAAAAATGAAAGTTTTATTTGTCAAATAAATAAATGTAGTGAAACTGTTTGTTGCTCTTAGCTTTGTTGATTTGGTATAGCGCTGCAAAACTTCTAAGGGAAGAAGTCGGGGTGGATTGTGGCGTTAATAAAGTGTCTTACTTTGACACCAGAGACTGGGAATGCATCTTGTCAGCCAACATTGGTTTCTTTTAAGCATGACAGTGAAAATTGCCTAATTCAAAGTTAGGTTCATCTTGGCTAAATCATCGATGTGGGAGACGGAGGTTCAATTTCCACTACCACAAATCCACCAATGTGTCCTTGAGCAAGACACTTAACCCCTAGTTGCTCCAGAGGCGTGCGACCTCTGACATATCGTAAGTCGCTCTTAAAAGGATAAAAGCATCAGCTAAATGAGTAAATGTAATGGTATTTCAGGTTTTCTTTTGCCTGTTGGAGTCCAAAACAGTGCAAACTGGAAAACCAGAAAACGCTCTTATGGATTGTTTTGGAAGGCATTGACAAACAACCTGTTTTTTAATTTAGGTTAGAGCACTGAAGGACATGTTGGATAGACTTCAAGCTCTTTAAATTAAATTGACTTGACAAACATACTGTAAAACATTAGTATTATCTACTGGGTTGTGTTACTGCCCGTTCGTTATTTCATAAAATATTGCACAATGCCGCTTGAAAATGTGTCTTGCTTGTCTGCACATATAGACTGACACTTCAGTACAAGATTCTATGGATCCCCATTTTCTTCCACAGAGTGGTCGCTAGTCTTGCACAAAGACCTGATCTCAACCCCATCTGACACCTTTGGGATGAACTGGAACACCGACGTGAGCCGCACCACATTCACCACCAAACTCATTAATGTTTTTGTGGCTGGAGCAAATCCTTGCAGACAGGTTCTAAAATCTGGTGGAAAGCCTTAAACCAGAACAGAGGAGCAGGCAAAAGCAGCAGATTAATGACCATGGTTTCAGGATAACATGTATATTTAACACATGTGGCTGTAAATATTCACATGTCTGCATACTTTTGGTGATACAGTTATGTTTGGTGTATATTTTAGCCTGTAGGCAGGACTGTAAATATCTGATTGCTTATATTGATTACTAACAAAGATTCAGTAATATATGGTGTACTGTACTTCAGGCCAATAAGGCTTATTGAATTGGACTGTACTGAGAGATAGAAAGAGAGAGAGAGGTTTTTCATACTTTAATTGAGTTCAAAAGTTGACCAGCCTCTCTCGCTTTTATGTCCACTTGAATCATGGTGACAGTGCGTGTGTGTGTGTGCTGCAGCAGACCATACTTCAGCAGCAGCAGAATTTGAGCCAGATCATCTCTCTCTCTCTCTCTCTATCCCTCTCTCTCTCACTCTCTCTCTCTCACCATCAGCTGTGATTACTTTGGTAAAACAGCGCTGCGTCGCAGAAAACCAATTTTCCTAATGCACAGCCTTCACATACACACACACACAGACAGCATGGTTATTGATGAGGTAAATGGGGAGGGGGGCAACAATGGGGCACACATTCTGCTGGGAAATGGAGAGAGAGAGGGAGAGAGGGAGGGAGAGAGAGAGAGGGAGAGAGAGAGAGAGAGAGAGAGAGAGAGAAGGGGTGAGGATAGTGGGAACAAGAGAGAAGGACGAGCTGGACAGGGACAAAGAGAGGGACAACCGGAGACAGACAGAAAGAAAAAGGGGACGAAGTGGAGGAGGAGAGGAAGAAGAGGGAAGGGGATGACGAAGACATGCATGTTCAGATATGTAGGCCGTCTTCTGGAAATGGAACAGTTAAAGAGCTAATAATGCAAAGGACAGAGACAGAGACAATGGAGGAGGGAGGATGCAGGAGGGAATACTAAGATCGTCTCTTTTCTTACGGACGATGGAGTAGTTGGACTCCCTGACGGGTGGAAGAGACGAGAGTAAAATATTCCTTCGGGACGATGGTTTAACTTGTCAGATTCTGAGAGAAAATATCACATAAAAAGAGAGAAATATAGAGAAAGTGACAGGTGGAATGATGCTGATCCTGCGTCTCATACAGTGAGTGACAGTCATCATGAAATACTCCAGAGAAGGGAAGCAAAGACATCTCAGTCCTGGTGCTTTGAGTTGATGGGTGTGAATGAGTACATGCTCCACAAAGTCAGCCCCCTTTAAAGCATCCAAAGGATAAATGAAAACTGGGTGTTTGGAGTTCTGGATTTGATATCCTTGAAGGCTGATGTTAAAGAGAAGTTCTACACCAACACGAACGGATGCATCCGAGTGGAAGAAGTTTCTGCAGCGTGAAGCATTTTGAAGGTTGTGTTGCTCTCTAAGCGTCACTGCACACGTATGTTGAAATCATTTTCTCTCACATCTTAAACTTTCTGTCAGGAATTCTTCAGGAACCAGTGGGACATTTGTGTTTTTAGTGGCTCTGGAGAAAACCGGAACTACTACATGTCGGAAAATTGTGACTTTGTCTAAATTAATCAACTGAATGTGCTTCTAAATGGGGATTTCCAAGGAGAGGAGGGTTTTTCCGTGAATAGTTTGAGAAGAGTTGCTGAGTTGTTGAGGCTGCATCATACCGGGGCTTTTCTCTTTCCATCACTCCTTATCCACCAGGAACTTCTCTTTACAGTGTATTTTCACACAGAAACTCTTGATGAGACTTTATATCATCCAGAAAGATCTCATTAAGAATCTGCCATTTGACCTGCTGTTGAAGGTGTGATCCTGCATCCAAATATCTCCCTTCAAATCTCTGTACCTATAACCACCCTCACTTCTTCTCTCTGTAAGGCCCCATCTCCACATCTTTAAAACATATATCAAGGAGACAGGAGCCTTTTTTTAATCACAGGAAACTTTCCAAAAAACTTAGTTTTCAAGGTTCTGTATCTACCATGATCCTCTCTCCAAGGCTTGTCCATCTAGGCTAACTTGAGGTTAGTATAAACATCAAATTTTCACATTTAATATCCAACTGGAACTCCTCTTTCCAGCCCTATATTCTTCAGGCAATGTCTCCTCCTGAAACCTTTGATGATGTTTAAACGTCCATTCTAAATCTTTTTAAGGCTGTATTCACTACATGATACTTTATGTTTTTATGTCAGCTACCCACCTGGAACCCCTCTTTAATGTTTAATAGTGACTCTCCTCTCCCTCTTTTAAAGGGTTTTCATCCTCTAAAATCCACTTTTTACAGCTGATTATACAACTGGAACATCTTATTAAGGTACCATATCCACCAAGAACGTCTCTGTTTTTTTTTGTTTTATAATAAAATCCACCGGGAATGTAAGGTTATACATCTATCAAGGACTTCTCTGTGAATCTATCCACTAAACACACTGTATCCACTTGAATCCAACTCTTACTGTGAACATATCCATGGACCGGTAATTAAGGGTCCATATCCACCAAGAACAATTTTTAAGGCTTTTTTTCACAAGGAACAACTCTACATCTACCAGGATGTTAAAAATCAAGTACTTTCCACACTCTGTCTAAACCCTTTAGCTAAAACTGGGACTCTGGTGATGCAGTTTTTATGCACCGCCGCTGTCTCGCCTTCTAAACTTTCACAAGATTACAAAAATTGTTGCATGTAATTTGCACTGCGCATCTACAACAATTGCCAACTGGAGCAGGAGCACTGCAGCATGGGACTCAGCTGCTTCAAGTCCTGGAAACATGACAGTACAGGCCACAAAGGTGACACACACACACACACACACACACACACACACAAACCATCAATGTAGTATTTTAAAATCCTTCCAGAACTCCAGCTGTGAGTGTTTGTGTGTGTTGCCCTTGAGTGACATCTGTAAAATGCTGACTCTGGGTCTTTAGGCTTTTATCTAAGGTGGCAGTGTATGCATGTGCTTACGTGTCTGTGTGTGTCTGATGTGACTTTGAGGAGGACTGACAGTGAAGCATGATGGGACAAAGGGGAGAAGAGAGGAAAGTGTGTTAAGGAGTCTGAGCACCATACAGATATGAAGATAGGGAGACCTTAAAGGGGCGATCTGACGATGTTATGAAAGATACTAAATTGGTGGAGCACGCTTTTAAGTGTACTCTAGCGTGGCATCTCAGAAAACAGTGTGTGATGGTCAAAAAAAAGGAACAGGCTTTAATTTGTTAATTTCTGTAAAAAATAAAAAATAAACTTTTACAATGGCATTGAGCTGAAAAATTTAAATGCACTTGGAGTACGCTATAGTGGCATTGTGTCATTATAATAATGGTAAGTAATGGCCAGTTGTGACAGTCTTGCATTTTGACTTAGTTATAAAAAAATGTTTGCGTTGTGTGTGCAGGTAACAGAGATGTGTTGGCCAGCCCAGGCTCGTATTTCTTCCTGTCTAACAGCGCTGGTCAGGGTGACGAGTGGCTGAAGAGCCTCAACAAAGGAGTGTGGATCCCTTTCACAGGTACACACACAGTGTTTAGTTGCTTTTTTATAAAAAGTGTTTCTCAAAGTGGTATTTTTTTCCCCCTGAATTCACATGCACACAAGCATCCTAATGAATGCTGTGCATGTTGCTCTGTCTGATGTTAAGTGTATGCTGATATCACAACCATGGTGATAATATATCAGGACTGCGTGTCTGCCATTATGTGCTAGAGTTGTTGTGGCTTCTACTGGCAAAAAAATCAATAATTCTAATCAATTAATTTGTTCAAAGCCAGATGTCTGAACAACACTACCACAATCTGATTTTCTGATCCTGGAAACGTTACACAGACAGCAGTGGAGGCTCATGTCTTTTGACTTGATGTGATAGTCAGCTACATGTCTCACTCTATATTCTGGTTTCTGTTTAAGCAATGTAAGCCTTACCTGACTAGTCATTGTATTTATGATTGAATGAGTTGTACTTTGGCTCCAGAGAGGAATCTTAATTAAATCTTCCTCCCTTGCAGGGGTCTTTGGTCAGCGTCTGGAGGAGACGGTGCTCTATGAGCGACGTTATGGGGTGCGCTTGGTCCCTCTGGTGGTGGAGCAGTGTGTGACCTTCATCCGGGAGCGTGGCCTACAGGAAGTGGGCTTGTTTCGACAACCAGGACAGGCCAGCCTGGTCAAAGAGCTGCAGGAGGCTTTTGATGCAGGGGAGAGACCGTCCTTCGACAGGTGCAATCACTCTTTTTTTTACCTGTACTGTTTTCTCCTCATGTGTTCTTCAAAAGGATGTGTGAAAAATGTTAGCTCGCTATGTGTTTTGCCTGCAGCAGCACAGACGTCCACACGGTGGCGTCACTGCTGAAGCTCTACCTCAGACAGCTGCCAGAGCCTCTGGTTCCATACAGACGCTACCAGGACTTCCTGCTCTGTGGTCAGAAGCTGTCGAGTGACCGCACACTGGTAACTGCAGCTCTGTACACTACGTAAAATAATTCATTAGATAAAGAGCAACAGCCCCTGAAAATCTTCTAATTTAACTTTAACTCACCTTGCTTCAGTGACGTACACGTGTTCCCCACGCCACCCGTGACATCACTGTTGGATGGGATCACAGGTGCAGCAGAGCACACTTGGTAACTAAAGAAAGAGAGCAGATGTGGTCTAGCTAGAGAGTTAATGAAGTGTTAGCGAGAACGAATCAGAGAAATAAAACTTAATTTTCTAGTTGCTTCACAACGGTTATGTTCTGAGCACAAATAAACACACCTCCACACAACCCACATTGCCGGATTTTGTGTGAATGCAGCCACACTTCATCCTGTCTGCATGAGCTTGGTCAAACAGGCGCACAGACCTGCAGCTTTTTATAAATCCATGACACAGAGAGCAGAGGAGGGAGACGAAGACAGCCAGTCTTTGTTTTTCCCCTTCTTTTCTTTGCCGCTTCCTGAGTCCCGTCCTCACATCTTCTTATTCTTCCTCTCTTCTTCTCTCAGGGTTTGGGGGAGTTGAGGAATCTCCTTCATGAGTTGCCAGTTGCAAACTTCAACCTACTCAACTTTATCTGCCAGTAAGACCCCTCCTACCTTGCTTTTTAGACTGACAACATGTGGGCAAGTGTTCATTTACAGTATTTGTCTTAGAAGATGAACGTGATCAAACCCAATGAGCTTCCTAACAATAGCACAGACTTTTGTTTATGTTTTACATGGGTGGTAGAAATGCATTTGTTGAACGAATTCAGTATTCAAAACAACAGCAAGTTAAGTAAGGAAAACTAACTGGTGTATTGCGAGGGATAACTCCACTCCCCGGAGAAATATTGACTAAAGAGCTGCAGTTAAAAAACAATCTCTGAAAGAAGCAGACAGTTTTGCAGTTGCATTGTACATATGAAGGTTGTATTCAGGCTATCAAACTGACTCAAACTGACATGAAAAACATACTGATAGAAAGCCTACCAATCAAAGAGTAAAAGTGATCCACTATATTACCTGACTACTGAGAAAGAGAACAATGATATTAAGGATCAACACTGCTCCTGTACTGTTGGGCAGGTCTCTATTCATTATTACAATCATTAAAAAGCAGAACAGTAGGGTTTTATAATGTTACATTCAGTAGTAAGTTAGCTAACATTAGCTAACTAACATTACTTTAGGAACAGTCCACAGCCTACATTATTCAGGATTTGTTTTAGGTTTTGGAAAGTGAATAAATCGTACTGGGTAGTGATTGTAATGATTACAAGTGACCCAGGGACAGCTTTGACCATAACTTAGAAAATACAGCCAAAAAAAGCTAGAAAATGACTTATTTTGCATCACAGTCAATGGAGCGCAGCCATGAAAGTGTCGGACCTCAGTTAGAGCGAGGCCTATACTGCGCTGTGATTGGCCAGCCGCGTGGCTTGGTGAAGGGTCAATTAGGCTAAGGTTAGTCATGTGGTTGTTATGGGTAAGGGGCTAGAGAATGCATTAAGTTGCTGACATGTCGCAATGGGTATAGTGGAACAAACGTGTGTGTGTGTGTGTGTGTGTGTGTGTGCAGGTTTCTAAGTGAGGTCCAGAGTTACTCCAGCAGTAACAAAATGAGCGGCCAGAACTTGGCCACTGTGTTTGGGCCAAACATCCTCCGAGCCAAAGCTGAAGATCCACAAAGCATCATGGGAGGTAGACAGACAAAAGGTCCTACAGCACCATAAGAAATTAATGAAAGAAGAATTATTCTTTTTTGTTTCAAAATTATGGTCTGTTGAAAAGCAGACGATGTAGCATCTGTGATATCATAGGCAAGAGGTAATTTAGGAACATGTATCTGGATCACGTTAGCATATGAAGCAAGCAGAAAAGTATCTACAAACAAAATTATTTTTTTCTTTTTCACAATTAAACTGCATCATCAACCCGTTCTCACCCCAGGGCGTCACATATGGACGCTTTGTCACGACCCCGTGGCATCGTTTCATAACGCCCTGGGTTTTGCGTCATTTTTATAGTGTAGGGCTCCTACTTATTTACGTTGTGAAATGGTTTGGTAAGGTTTGGGCACCAAAACTACTTGGAGTTAGGCAACAAAACTACTTTGCTATCATGGTTTGGTTAAAATAACTATGTTACATACGTGACTTCAAATATGCAATTACGTAACATCACTAAAAGGAACCAATGTTGATTTTTTGTTATATGAGAAACAAACACTGGTCTCCTGGGTGAAAGTCCAGATTTGGTCCCACCCATCCACCACAACCGTCTCCTTACTCCTACTTTTCTGTTGTGTATACTAGTACTTTTATCATCGAGCAATGGTACCAAAGAGCCCCCAGAGTGTTGAACTATGACATAAAATTTTGCCGTCTGTGTTGGTACCGGATGACAACGTGAAAAAGCGCAGCTATTTGACGCTCTGGGAATGAGAACTGGTTGGCCTCATCATTGCAATCCACTGTAGCCACTTTGAATCCAAGCTGACTATGGTCTCTGTACTCTGAGTGAGCTGCAAAGTTTTTAAAGTCACCAAAGGTCTACAGGGTGTTTGTTATCAAAAAGATGTCTAGTTAGGTGTCTCAGTGTATCACATTTTGTCGTGGTGTTTGACACTTGCTTCTCCTTCCTCAGCTCCCTCCAGGCTTCTTTCTGTGATCAAATCAGTATTGTTTCTCCATCAAAATTCACCATCAACAAACCATTGGTGGCATGAAAAAAAAAAGTTTGTTAATGTTTTTATAGCGTATGACAAGAACCTGAGAGAACCAAAAGGGTCTTTGAAGAGTTTGAGTCTCTATCTGGGTCCTAGGTGCAGCACTGGTCCAAGTGCTGATGTTGGAGCTAATCAGGGAACATGAATCTCTGTTTGCCAAATTACCCCCATCCATCTCCGCCCGTCCACCTGGAGGTTCGCGTGCATCACCAAGTGCTCTGAGGCAGCCTCATCTCCATCCGTCGCCCTGCCTTCGCCAGCTGTCTCTGCCTCTTATCACAGAGCGTTCCAGAGAGCCAGGACAGGCCACCACAGACGCACCGAATCCCAGGTACAACAGACCTGCTCTAATAAAGCTTCCCCATCAACCAAAACTCACAACATCTCATACATACATCCCACAGACTCACATTCTATCTGAGAGTGCTCTTGCAACTACCAACTTCTAGGGGCCAAAACATGCACCAAAACATGTAGGACATGAGACATACAACCTCCTCTCCACAATAAAGATTTGGAAAGAGGACTGCACATACACATAATAGGCTAATCGTAAGGACACCATGCACACAGAGAGCAACGAGATAAGGGCACCATTCACACAGGGGGAGAAGAGACAGAGACACAATTCACACAGAGGGAGAAGAAATAAGGACATCATTCCCATAGTGGAAGAAAAGATAGGGACACCATTCACACAGGGGGAGAAGAGACAGAGACACAATTCACACAGAGGGAGAAGAAATAAGGACACCATTAACACAGTGGAAGAAAAGATAGGGACACCATTCACACAGGAGGAGAAGAGACAGAGACACAATTCACATAGAGGGAGAAGAAATAAGGACACAATTCACACAGAGGGAGAGAGAGCCAAGGACGCCATTCCTACATACGGAGAAGTTACAATGACACCATTCACACAGATGCTAAAGTTAGAAGGACACCATTCACACAGAGGGAGAAGAGACAGTGACACCATTCACACACAGGAAGAAAGACAAGGGAGACAGATCCTCAATGCTGAGATCTGTCTCAGTTACCTTACAGCATCAAAGCTTTTATCACATACTGTTAGTGTGGTCCTTGCTAGTGAAATTATTTTAGATGTATAAAATCACTGAGAGTATTCTCTTAAAAGTCTAACATCCGTTTCCTTGCTTTCTGTAGCTGTATAAACTCTGCTGCTACCAAATCAGAATTGTCCTCTGGGCAGAAGAGATTTCTCGGCCATCGTTACACCTCCTCCCACCCAGAGAATTGTTTCTCCCCCCTCCCCTCCTCCAGTCAGCCCTTTCAGTACCACTCTGACAGACACAACATAGATTTTCACCAGCACCATGCTGGCCAAGGACCCTCCCCAGCAAATGTCCAAGCCTCTACAACCAGCTTCCAACTACAAGACCCTCTGCCAGATAGCTCCAGGCCGATGCTTATGGGCTGGGCAAAGGCCTGGCCCGGCTCGGGAGAGGCAGGCGCTGGTTTTTGGAGCTCTGGTGCTGCAGAGGAAGAGGGTGTAGTGCCAGAAACAGCCAGTAGGGACAGCAGTGATGCTCAGGAGGACAGCACCCTTTCTGCCTACGACAACCTGGAGAAAGTGTCTCAACATGAAAGGATGGAAGATGTCACTGATGGACATCTTGAAACCAACGATCCTGGAGGCCATATTGGATCTTGTGAAGAGGAGGCAGAGCTAGAGGGGGCAAGGCCGACAGGGGACTCCTCCTCTTCATGGTCTTCTTGCGAGGTTCTACCATTGGATGAGAGCAATGATACTACGGGTGCAGTTAGTCCTGACATATCACCAAAGAGACCTAAAAGGTTACCTTCAAGTCAGATAACAGAAGAGGAAAAGAGTGATAATGAAGATCATGAAGAAAACAACAATGACAATGATGAGAACTGTTACAACAATGATCACGACGTTCACCACCCTAACTCCCCAGCCTCCTGTTCTGTACTTAGTGACAGCCCCCTCAGTACGGGCAGCTCAGAGGTTTTCCTCCCCTCTGGCCCTCCAGACCTTCAGGTACCTGAGCCTCAGCCACAGCCCAAGGATGCTCACTCACTCTTGGCCGAGCTGCGGCAGCAGATGGCCCAGCAGAAGGTCGAGTACCAGGCCAGGATACAAAGGTGAGAAACCAGCACAAGGAGGAAGATCCTTTCTTCCTCACGTTATTCATCCACATCTGGTACTTTTAAATTGAATAATAAAATCCTTGTATTTGCAGATCTATGCTTTTTCATTGGATTTGTAGTTTTGTTTTTTTGAGACAAATTAGGAGATTTGTCTCCTAATGTGATTGTTTAATCACTGTCCACATACTGGACAGGTGAACTTTTATGTGTACATTTGTTGTTAAATCTGTGACTTTGTCCTACTTTGGTCTAGGCCAATAAGTTCCAAATTTGGGTAATTGTAAGGAAACATTTCATTCAGTGATAGTTTAGACAATAGTGTGCTTATAACTTCCTAGTCACTGTTCGGTAATACCCTTTCCTGTTTCAACATGACAGTGTCCCCATACATAAAGCCAGGTCCATAAAGCCAAAACCAAAACCAAACCCCATCCAACCAGCACTGGGGGCCAACCTCAGTCATTGCTTTTGAGAACAAATCTCTGCAGCCAGCTTTCAACATCTGGTGGAAAGTGCAGAATGAGATTGTTAAACAGACATATATTACATCATGGAAACTGAAGGCATCTCAATTTGTAGATGACAAAACTAATCAAAATGTACAGTAGAGACTGATGTTTTGAGCTTCTGAATCCATTTACATGCAAGTCAGAATCAGTTGCCATTAAATAGCCTAAATCTTAACCTTTCTGGGAGTCTGATCCCTTTTTGAGTTGTGTTGTCATTCCATTAAGATGAGGCCGAAAAAGTACACTCAGGTCAGGTCATTCAAACACTCATGTAGTTCAGAGAAAGCCTCAAAGTTCTCGTTATCTAGACGACTTTTCCACAGGCGTAGCCTTCTGATCCATGCTTCAATTTTTTGTGTGAGAGAGAAGACAGATGCCATTTTTCTTTGTTGTTTCAAGTCGTTAAGACGCTAAAAATGTCAGCCAGACGGCAGGGCGAACCATTTTTCATCTGAAAAATTTGCGGCTAGTGGGGAGTTTTTCTCCAACAGACTTGCTCTCACCTCATCTCAGAGCTCGTAAAGGCGACTCAGGACATTATCCCGTGTACTTCGCTGTGTTACAATAGCTGATGGTGTTCTGCTCCCATCTCTTGACAGAGAATGATAACTGTACGAACTAGCCTTCACTTAAACTGATGTTTAACAAGTGTGACATATAGAGTTTGTTGTGTAAGCCTGTGCATGTACTATAAGGTATATGTATGTGTGTCCTGCAGGTTAGAGCGCTGTAATGATGTTTTACAGCGGCAGCTTGCGGTACTGCGGGTCAGTCTGGACCAGCAGAAGCGCAGCCAAAGTGTCGCCGAGATCAAGATCCGCAACATGGAGAGAGCCAAAGCCGACGCCGACCTCCGAAACACCACACTGCAGAGAGAAATGGAGCTGTTCTTCCAGATGTATGGAGAGTTCAGAAGAAAAGGAGGAGAAAGAGGAGGAGGGAGTCTCTAAAAATGGATAAAATTGCACAGAGGCATCAAAAAATAAAGGAAAACAGGGAGAAAATAAGAGTTTATCTGGTCCAGAAGACAATCTAAAAAAGTAAGACAGTTGTGTGTCATTTCAACCAGCCTCAGGCTAAGTTGGTGAAGTTCCTGGTTTCCAGAAAATGGCGCAAAAATTTGAATTTGAGGAGCAGCTTTGGATGTCCCCGAGCTTCTTAGGTGGTTTACTGGAGAAACTGATGGACACTCCAAGTGTCTTCCTGCTTAATGCAAACCAGTGTCTTTCAAGGAAGCCTGAGGTGAGGTATTAATCAACATAAACCCAGGTCTCCTTTGAGAAATCAAACTACATTCTGTACTGTTCTGAACTGAACAAACAAGATCTAGAAGAGTGTAAGAAACTGACACCTTGTCCAGTCTTCAAGACTTTTATGATGTCAGAACTTCTGTACATCTCACACCAAAAGATTATTTGTTTCACAGGCTGTTGTCATGTTGACAAGGGGATTCACAACCTCTAGAACTGTTCTCAAATGAAGTTTACTGATTACAAGAACTGCGACTGGAGTGCATGATCCCAAAATTTCAGCTCAGAGTCAGCCCATCAGTACATCTCTTGTGTGCACAAAACACAGGGAACAGTACTGTGGCCTGTACTACGAAGGGAGTTCAACCTACTCAGAGTTAACTCAGGGTTATCAGGCAAACTCAGGGTTGACAAACACTGACGGCCTACACCTACTACGACGGTGGATAAGATGTTGGTTAGTTGTGTCAGTGTTAACTTAATTGGAGTTGGTGCGCATTTGCATAAAAGGGGTGTTTTTTCGCAACGTCGCATGCTCCGTATTTCTCCTGAGGAATGTCAGTATCGTGGCGGACGACAAAGCCAGGGAGGCTTGTTGGCATCGCATTGAGTAAATTTGTAGCCTAATTATCTTCACAGTGTTCTTATTGTAGTTCAAATCTCTATTATGTATTTTATGGGCTCTTCTTTTATGTGTAATATGATTAAGATGTAAAGGTACAACTGCACATAAGGTCCATTGTAATAAACAAAAAGGAGCCAGCATAGAGGGGTAGTCCTAATAATCCGAGAGAAAATATAATTTCCAAGATTAATCTACAAGTAAAAAATTTGAACATTCTCTGACATTATAGTCACAAATTTATGAGAAACTTCACTTTGCAAGGCTGCAACATCACACCCACACCTCTGCCGTGCAGTATGCATGCATTGGAAAGCTATGTTAAACTTTGCAATCGGATTTATCAGTGAGGAAATACTGAGTTTAGCCCACAGTCACGCACCTTAGAGACTTTGCCTTGGATTGGGCGCATTCAGAAGAAAACACCAGTGATTTTCGATGATAAGTTCAGGGAATTTCCAATTCTCCCTCTTGTAAATTTCACACTATTTTTTTTTTCTCTGTTATTAACCCTCACCCTGGCTCCCTATGTTTTGGACATGCAAAATAGTCAATCTAAATATGTGAAAACACTTAGGAGAATTCAATTATAGACTACAGACGGGCTACATCTAAGGAACGATCCCGGTGATTAATTAAGACTTCTCCCTAAAATCATAGAGGCTGCAGGGCTCGCTGATGCTGTTGTGTTCAGAACTTCATTGAAACCCGCAGTGGAACAAATCAGCATGAAATCTAAACACATTTTATGAAGTGGTGTGTATTAATATCCTAATTCTCATCATTAACACTGAGTACAGATGTGGTGTGTAGTCCACCTGCAGGGTAACCTCGAGTTAACCATGAACAAATCCTGCTCGGAGCAGTTTAGAGATTCAGCGTAAATTGCCATGACAACAGACCTCGCTTATCACCTATCCACTAGTGATGGGAAAAGTCACTCTTCTGACAGACTCAAGTCATCAAATCTCATTCATTAAAATGAACTAATCTTTTTTTGTTATTTCGTTCATTTTAACTGGGCTGGTTATTGCAGCGCTGCAGCCCTCTAGTGGGCGATTTAAAAAAAAAAAACAGCGCAGTTCTCAAACACAGAAAGCTGCCTGGCTTGCTCTAACTGACAAAGTATAATACACAAATTCACCTCTTGATCTTTCTCTATCATGGTTCTATAAAGCCCCATGGGGCCATAAACAAATTCAAACCATGTAAAAACCACAGAAATATGTTGTCAATATTCAATTAAGCCACTCCTCTGGCTAAATCTGCCCATTTTCACAATCTTTCCTGAGTATACTACTAGACCAGCCATATATATGTATATAATTATAATCAAACCCAGTGAGCCACAGTTGAGAGTCGTGAACTAATCCTTGCAACGCTTTCACATACAACGCGAGAAGGCCTAAACTGTATGATTGGCACCGCCGCGTTTGCGTCGCCCGACAGGAAATTGCGGCTCTACGCATCTTTGCATTGACTTTGTATGTAAACTCACCGCCCCGAACACTCGCTTCGCTTTTGGTCTGAAAGCACAGTAAGAGTCCAAGACTATTCACAGAAGCGCGAAAATGAACGAATTACTCACTGAGACTACCCGTTCCTCCTGAGTCACAAACAAGATTAGGTCAAATGAACGAAACGTTCTTTGAACGACACAACACTACTATCCACCTTTCGTAGTACGGGTTAATCGGGAAGTTACACCCAACGTCAGGAAGTTACTCCTGAAGTTACCTGGATAAGCCAGTTACCCCGCTTCATAGTACAGGCCCCTGGTCTTTGCCTACTTTGAAGACACGTTGTGTCTTTAGAGTGTTTGCTACCTCCCTCATTACCCGGCCCCGGTTTTCTTGACAATCGTATTGGGTGCTGCTCTGACTTGTCTTCAAAATACTCCAACAATAAGTTCCTCCTGCTTTTGGCTACGATAACATCGAAAATGTTTGATGTTTACTGTGATAGCGTCTGTTCATGACAGGGTCAAGATGTCAAGAGAGGTTTTAGAGTTTTTGACCTAAATTGAAAATACAACCCTTTAAGTTTCCACCTGGGAAAATCAGGCAAGATTTCTCAACCCTGAGCTGCTGAAGATTTGCTTGATTATTTAGACACTGTCAACACTGGACTGTTTACATAGTTGTTACCCCAAAATACAGACTTTTAATTTTCTGAAAGTGATCTAACAGTGCCTACTTGTAAAACGTTATCAACTAATATAAGCTGGAGCACAGAGGAAATTTGGAAAATCTGATTTTTGTTGGTTTTTCACAGCTCAGAATCAAAGTCAATGGGAATTCCTGATTTCTGGTTGTGAACTGACTGCAGCATCATGTCCTGTTGTCTTTGCTCTGATAAATGGAGGGATTTATTAGAAATAAAAAAAATAATAATCAAATGGTATTATATGAGCTATGTTGTTTATGATAAAAAATATCTGAATTAACTTGATGTTTTGTACCACACACTGTTTTCTCTATAATAATAAGATATTGACTGGATGCTATAGTAACTGACTTGCTGTGAGGGAATTCCTATAGACTGGAATGGCACTCCACAACAGAGGCATGACGAAGACAGTGTAAGTTTCAGGCATCACAAAGACTGAAATTGTACAACATTATCAGACCAGAATTTCTGTTCACTCTGCATGAAGAAGCTTTTCCAAAAAAAAATAAAACCTTACAGAAAAGCTTAAATAAACTTTTAACTCCTCTTTACACAGATAATTGAATCAACTGAATTTTTTCAGCATATTTTGTCAGTTTCAAACACGCATGTGTCCAGTGGGGCTGGTTGTCGAAAACGATTATCTGCTTTAATTGGTAATCACTCAGTTTTGTTTGTTGTCCAAATTATGTTAAATGTGACTGCTCAACATTTGGAGGACAGGACCAACAGGAAGTTCCTCTCTGACTCCAAGAGTAACAAACCAATATTAGCCAATCCGATGCCACAAAGACATTATGTATCATTCATTGTGGGAACAGTTTTGTTTATTTGTTTGAGATTAACCAGATTTTGCTGTTTCTTTCTGTTTCTGCCTGCTGTAATGTATAAACATAAGATGTGGTTACTGGATGGTGAACTGAGGCCCTCTTGAGGCTAAAATAAATTACTACAGATCCACAGAGAACATTTGTATGGCAATAAACAGTTAAACTTGAAGTGAAAACACTATCAAATATAGTGAAGCACTCTCTCTTGTTTTTCTGATGAGAATGTAACATTTATTCTCAAATTCCTAACTGTTTTGGCAAAGAAAAATAAAATGTACAGACCCTATTATTTAAGGTAAACATCTGTTAACCATAAACTGGAAAAAAAAAGAGATAAACAGTAACACAGTGTAATTCAGTCAGTCTGTACTATAGAGTCACAATACCATACATAGGTTCAGATGTGATATTTCAGTCAGGGAGAGACTTAAAGGGAACAGCATTACAGGTTCAACACAGAGCACTTGTGATCACAAACTATGAAACAAATTCTGACGGAGCAGAAACAGTCATATTGATTTAATATTTAAGAGTGTGTGTTTTTCTGTGTCCAGCTTTAGGATCATTCTGGGGTGAAAAAGACACTGGCTGACTTACAGGTGGCAAATAACTTGTATTTGAAATGCTCACCCCATGAAACAAAAAACTCCTTATTAACAGTGAACAGAGCATTTACACTTAATAATAAAATTGCAATAATTATAATAATAACAACGACGCTTCATTTCTTTTAACATAGCTATTGTAAGGCGACGTGATTTGTCAGGGGAACACAGCATTTTTTTTGCCAAATGCAAAAAAAGTTTGTCCGTGACAAGATCTTTCGCTTTTACTGGAGTGACACAAGGTTTCTGCGGGATGCGGCCAGCATCCACACCAGCTGTCTCTTCATTCAACAGTTTCACACCAAAACCCATAGAAGGGGGGAGAAGAGGCTCACATGTAGCTCTAATTTTCACACTCACACACTCATTTCCCAAAAGGAACAAATCGGTTGCTACAGTAGCAGATAAAAAAAATCTTAATTTATACATTAAACATTTCAAAAAAGTTACAAACAAATAAGTGGAACGTTTCAGTGAGCAGGAGCCTGCCAAATTTCCTAAATTTCCTGAGACATTTTTACAATTTTTTTCGGACTTTTGTTTTGTTCTTTTTGTTTGATTTGTATTAAACCACACTTAAGGAATGGGTTAGTCCCATTCTTCCCACCCTGCTTAGTGAAATGCCCCTCAAAGACGACGCATGAAAGATTTTCAGAGACAGACGGGACAAACAAGACGATTAATATTGAAACAGATTTAACTTTTCTCACGGTCAATCTCTGGGAAGAGTGGGGATATAAAGTGCATTTACAAGGGATAGGATCACCATCGTCGTCACCCTCAACTGGATAAGTTCTAATGATCAGCCAGTTGCCCTCCAGCTTATCTGGATTAAGGGCTTTATTCATGCTGAATTTGTTTCCTTGAGCCAACATCAGCAGCTAGATGTAAAAGCTAAAACAGTGAAGGATACACGAGTTTGATTTTACAGCCAAACAACACCGTAAATGCCTCAAAACAACGCAGATAGAAATGGTCTAATTTTTTTTTCTTATCCAGAAGTGTTACAATGGCAAAGATGGTGGACAGTACAGTGGTTATCTGAATGTTGGAGCTGCTGTTAAAGGTCCCATGAAATTACTTTGAGGTTGCATTGTTTTCCATGTCTTTCACATGGAAAAAAAAAACAAGACGCTAATAATAGCTGGTCTCCTCCAAAACTGACTGTTACTGAGGAGGAACTTTCAAACAGATGCACATGCAGCTAGCAATAATTATCTTAAAGTATAATTCCAGTTTATTACAATTTGGGTCTTATTTTTTTGGTTTTGGCTATCTAAGTGATTTAAAATCTGAAAAACACTGAGATTGATACAATGAAAGTCTGGTGGGGAAAGAACAAGCGGTCAGACAATCATACAGTTTACATCTTTAAACTGTTTGTAAGTTTACAACTTCTCCCATTTGACTTTTTCAGCAGTATTGCCACTATCACAGAAGTCAGTGATAACCTTGTTGAGTACAGTGTTATTATCACTAAGGGCAATGACGTACAAAACTACAAAAATGAGACCCACGTTGTAATAAAACAGATTTATGCTTTAGGAACAAAGGCAGACCCAGAATGTACAGTCAGTGCAGAAATCCATGATAACAACACAGAGAAGTTTTTATTTAATGGGACCTTTAGTGTCTGAGTGACACGCAGGTTTGACAGATGTCATGATCGGTCTTAGAAGCCAGAGGGCGTCAGGACGTTCATGTCTCTGGGTTTGAGCTTGTGTGGCCGAGCTCCATGCCGTCGACCCTCCACCGTGGGAATCTCCATCCTGGGAGGGGCCATCGTCTGAGCGGCAGGGTTGTCGGCCAGTCTTGTGGCCTGCGACTTCATTAACTCCATGGGGGTTGGTTTCTGGGCACCGCGGTATGCCTGTATCGCAAAGCCTTCTGGGAGAAGAGAAGAAAAAATTGTCTCTCAGCGTGTTTCTCTTACGTTTTTACATCCACCTTGGATGATTTCACTACAGCCCCCTTTGACTGTAGAATATCTAAAAAAATCACTCTGCCACTTGCAGACTACTCCGTTTCTCCCACTCTCTGAGGAAAACTTGTGAATTTGGTCTATATAAATAAAACAGACTTGAACTGAATGAGGATCCAGACGTAGATAAAATTTACAGAACTACTACTTTTGCCATGAAATTAAACAGAGACAAAAACTTTATTCTTAAAAATCTGTTAAACAGTGTCAGGGAATTCGTTAAAATGTGTAATGCAGATGGTGTGTTTGGGTTTAGCAGGAAAAAACAGGACTGTTGGTGGGAGAATTTTTACCTCTTGAACGTCGCCTGGCTCGTCATGTGTTATTGGCTGGTTCAACACACTGGCAAATTTTAATGTGCGAGCGTTTGGTTGCATGTGTTCTGTCCAGTGTCTTGAGATCATAAAAAGGCACTAATTGCAATGACAAACATAGGGCATAACTAAAAAAATAAGATAACTGGACAATACAGAGGTTGAATTCCGTTTCATTTTGTTGGGTAAATTAATGTAATTGGTGTAAAGAAAGCTTCATAAATATTATAAAAATGAGACTACATGAATTAAAATGTTTGTGTCCATGTGTCCATTGATAACTCACACACATACATTCGCCAAATTCTCCTCCTTTTTTTAAGTTCCTCTCTATTTCTATTTACTCTCAGTGACATTTCATTGATGCTTCCTTGTCTTTGATTAGAATATTTATTCAAAGGTTCTTTTTATTGTCTTTTCTTGTAACTTTGACAATATTGTATGACCATGCCAATAAATGCCTTTGAGTAAAACCTTCCTGATTATACTGATAGAAGCATTGTCGCATTTGTGCTGTTCAAACAAAGAAAATAGGTTTACATTAATCCCTAAACCTATACATATCTATTTTGATATCTCTGTGCATTGTAGTTAGAATAAGACATTCCTGCTAATGACGAAATATATTCTGTTAAACTGGATTATCGGTCTTCAAGTGACGAGTTCAAATGAAGTTAATCTGTCACTTTTCTGCAGCAGTCTCGATTATAAATATAAATACTGGTAATTGTTATATTCCTGCTATGTTGTGAATGATATCAAGTAGTTATTATGTTTGTGAAACATCAGTGAAACTTCTAAGATAAAAATTGCTGTTTTCTGTAAGATGAAAAAGTCATTCCTTCACTCCCTCAAACGAAACTCTACACAAACATCTGTTATTTTTCTTAAATCACATACCCAAAGTCATCCTGGAAAAAAGATTTTGATAGTTTCCAAACAGACTGAGTAGTTCTTCATTTGAAAATCTAAATGTTGCAACAGCAGCTGTCAGTGATCTAAATGTAAAAGTTGTCCTATCTGACTTTTATAATCACTGGAATGTAGAAAAACTCTGCTTCACTCTTCAAACTTTTGGTCAGTGTTTACAGTCAGTCTGAAGTTCATTTGTTCGCCCATGAACCCAAATCCTGTACATAACTGTTTATATGGACTAAACCAAATCACCTTTCACCAAGTTTCTATTTATGCCTCAACAGAGAGAAATCTTTGAAGCAGTAAAGGGATTTACTTAAGCTTTTATTGGAGTTTTCCCTCTTTTTAGTTTGTTGTTGCGCCAACATTGCGCCTAACGATCCGAGCACATTTACGTCATCACTCAGTCAGTGTTTCACATATATTGATTTGTTTGTGGTGGCCCGCCACAGTATGAAGGCCGGCTGCCATATATTGATATGTCATTTTTTTTACTAGGCCTATTTAAAATCGGTGCCGCTCCGTTCTGTGGGCCCGGGCATGGAATGGGCACACTGGTCAAACAAACCTGACTTTGGGGGTTAAACATGTTCGGGCACGGTACGGATCGCCTAGTGTGAGTACACCCTTAGACTCGAGAAGGCCATCAATGTCTGCGGCTTTGTTCACACACACACCAAACCAACATTAAAGGACTTTTTGTCAAGATTTAGTGTCTCACAATGAGGCCACGCTGTTTACCTGCATGCGTAGAATCTGATCCCAGGTCAGATGTCGACTTTTGGACAAGCGGCCGCGGCCCAAACATGCTCCACCGTTCGACCGCACCTCCTACTCCACCTGCTGCTGTGTCTCCGATGTCCACACTGCTGTTGGCGGAGCTAATGCTGGCCTCTGAACCTGTGCTGCCGAACCAGGTCCTACACAAACACACAAACAGTATGTAAACTTTGCCAGGTTACAGATTTTCAGTGTTCATCCCACTTTGTGGTGAGGAAGGTCAAATTCTTAAACGTGATTTAGACCACAGGTCAGTGAACGCTCTGTGAATAGTGTGTAAACTGTGGGTGTATGTATGTACCTGCGTTGTTTTGGGGAGCTGTGTGGTGTGTTGGATGGAGTGGACTGGCAGGAGGAGGAGGAGTTCTGCCGCTCTTCTCGGGCCTCCATGCTCTGGATCTGCAGTTTCTAAACAACAACAAAACAGGATTCAGTCACGGGTACAATCTTAGATGTACGAGACGTTCAATTTCATTTTCACGGTTTAGAACTTTAAAGTAATGAATAAATATTAAGCAGCTACAACAACACATTTTAAAAGGCGAACGCTGCAGATTTTACTCATCAAAGTCGGTTTACATGTCTTGAGGAGTAGAACTGCATATGTGAAAGAAAGTTGTATAAAGCGTTTTTTGGCTCCACAGGGAGCTGCTTCAAATCTGATAAACGGCCTCAAGTGAGGTCACCTGAGTCAGCGTCAGTGTGAGCTAAAGACTAAATGAAGTTTGAAAAAAATAAATGCCTAGAGGCTTGGGGTTACATAAGCCATTACTAGCATAACACACCAATCTCTGACCGAATTGTTGGCAGTTGAGTTGCATTGTGGATAATGTACGTAGGATATTGGTGCGTCTCAGTTGAAACTTTCAACTGGAACTACTCAGAAAGTCGGGACAACCGCACTACCCCGACTTCGTGATCCAAGATGACTGTCGGGGTATCAACAGTTAGTGAAAGCTGTAGTTTATACTGTTTATTAGCACTTCTGTGTACTTGTGACTCATAGAAATGTTCGTACACAAAGTGCTGTCCAGCAGCTGTCTGTGGTCGTGTTGCTACAGTGTTTAGTGTGAGTAAATACCGCACAATGCGTTTTTTTAATCAACCGGCGTATCAATAGCTAACCTGGCTAGTTGTAAACTTTTTTTCAAATGTGACAAAAACTTCAGGCAGGGAAAGTATCAAAGGCGCTGGATGAAAGGAGGGATAGCTACATGTAGCGATGACATTTACGTTAATATTCTTGCCACAATGGCCATGGAGTGGCTCTTCTCAGATATGGGGCTCACATCTGCAAGACTTAGGCATGCAAACTGGTCAGAGGTTAAAAAGGTGAGAAGGATATACAAGTAGACAAACATACAGAGACAGTGTAAAGCTAATGATACACGGGGGCAACTTTTCAAGCAATGTTGCTGGGCAATGTTGCTGGTGGCAAGTCTGACTATGTTTCGAATGGATAGCGGCGGGCAGGGCAGGTGGCGGAGTGGTGGTGGTGGGGATTACGGTAGCAATCTTTATTCATTACCATTCACGGCAACATTGCCAAGCACCATTGCTCTGAAAGTTGCTCCGTGTATCATCAGCTTAAGAGGGGTCTTTTTTTAAAGCTTACATGTTGTATAGATAACGTGCATTCGTCTACTGCTACAAGAGAAAGATACCGACACGCAAGGGCGCCACTTTGTGTTAGTAGCAGGGACATCAGGGCTCAGATTAGGGATGTGACGATACATTTAGCTTACGAGATGTGCTGATGCACCATACTGGTGTCACAAGAAAGAGATGTGATGATAAATGAACATTATTTCATAGAAATCACCAAAGCTGAAATTTGAGTTGGGGGATCTGGGGAACCTCCTCCAGAAATTTGAGCATTAAACACTTAATTTTCTGCATTCTGGTGACATTTCCTGTTCTGCATTTCCTACATCAATGTATGATGAAAATGTTTTTATTTATGTAAAGGGAAACACAAAATTCAGGTGGCAGGTGACAATTCAAAATCTATAAGTATTCTAAGTCAGTGCAGCTTTCACACATGTTTCTCCTGTAGATCAACTTTTCTCATGTAATATCATCCCTGCTAGCAGGATTGCCCATCCCTTCTGGACCTGTACTCCTCGTGGACTCCGAGGTGAGCAGGAAAGATTGCAGCTGACTCCTCCCACCCTGGGCACAAACTTTCAAACTCTCCCCTGTGACAGGAGGCTGCGGTCCATCAGGACCAAAACCTCTCGCCACAAAAACAGTTTCTTCCCGTCTGCAACTAGCCTCATTAACAAGGCCCGGGTGTGTAAAACACTACTTGGCAATAAAGCTCCTTCTGATTCGGCTGAGTCAACACACATGCAGGCATGGTTTAGTCTTCCCTCCTCTTTTGTCATGTTCACAGGGAGAGAACAGAACATTTGGCCAAATAGAAACTGTGACAGGAAGTTGTTAAAGTTATGGACTGGTGCTGCACGTTTTGGGGTCATTTTGTAATCAGTAGCTTGCTAGCTTACTTAAAAATGCAAAAATACTTTTCTTAAAGCACTTTCATTGGTTCTTTGCCATTTCATGCTGCAAGCTATTTTTCAAAACATTTTTAACAAACGCTTTCAAAAAGTGATTGGGACATGTCCCCATATCCAGTAACAATTAGCTTAGCTAACATTACTGGTTAATAACAGCGGGCAAAGTTCTAAACTTAACAACATTACTGTATCTGACAGGACAGTTAACATTGTAAGCTAACTTTTACCGTCCTCACGTGTTCAGCTATCAGCCTTCGCAGTGTAGTGGACTAGAAAAAAAGACCCGCTCTATGCTGCCTCTGATTGGCTGTTGGGTTGAGGCATTAGGAGTGACGATCGGTTAGGCAGAGCCAGTTGTAAAGTGCAAATCTCATGCCAGAGAGGAGAAGACTCTAAAATAAATATATATATAAATAAAGCGAGGAGGCCTGAATGTATGTATGTAAAAAATGTAATGTATAAAAATGTGTATCTTACCTGGAGGGAATCGGGAATGCGGTGGTGGTGTCTCGTCTCCTCAGCGGTGAGGCCTTTGTGGGGAGTGTAGCTGGTGTCAGTAAGCCCCGCCCTCTGCTCAAACTTATACATACTATCATGAGTGTGCTCTGAGAGAGAGAGAGAGAGAAAAAGTGTTTTAATAATTGTTTCAAGTGACAATTTATCTTTAAAATATCAAACATTCAAACCTGGTTGCCTGAGAAGGTGGCTTTAAAAAGTTAAATAAGTTTTTGGGAATCCTGAATCTAAGTGATGACCATCATGTTGACTTGAATTAAACTTCAATTTAACATAGTTCTACCCCTTTTTCCTTTACTTGTTCATGACATTATTCATTTCTCAGCTTTGGCGCATTATACAAAATATACTGAACTTAAAAATAGAATATCTTTGTCATCAACAGACTGAAACATACTGGTGATAAGAGAACTCATGATGACGGAGGAAGCCTTAGTTTTCACAACAGCTGGTGACCTGGAGGAGGCGGAGCCCAGCCCTGTGGACTGACTCACTGCACCACTCTCATCCTCCTGGTAGAAAAAAAACCCAAAACACACCAACATCATCATCTACACACAACATCACACTCTTCCTCTTGATGACAAAACAGGTGAAAATAAAAATAATTCAAATGTTAAGCAGGTGTGTGTGTGCGTTTGTGTTGTGGAGGCCCCGTTTCACCTCAGCCAGTTGTGCGAACTTTCTTTCCGGTATGACGGGTCGTCTCCATAGGTTGTTGATGCTGATGTCATGAGGAGGCGTGGACATGGGGGCCTCCAGGTTATCGTCGTAGCTGAGGGCTCGTCGGGTCATCCCGATGGGAAGCTTCATTCCCATCCCTGAACCCTCTATGGCTGTGAGCACAAACAAAAGCAATCACATCTAACCACGCTCTCTTCGCTTTCTGTTGACAGGAGTTCAGAAATTTCACAGGGGCCATAAAGGCCATACGCCCAGTGTGCCAACATCAGCTCCATGATGTTAGCGGATGAGTGAGGTTAAGTCTGTAAGCACGATTCTGTTTTTACAGCAGCAGGTGAGCTGCCAAAGGTTTGCCAAATATACCTGGGTGGCCCGCCCAAGTACAGTCTATATGTGGGAAACACTAAAATGGATACTTGAGACTTGGAATATGCTGCATTAGTTGGGTTACTTTTGTTTTTTTTAACTTCAGATTAGTTTGCATTTGCTATTGCTGGAAGATCCAATTTCATGCAGCATTTCCATAACCATGGGACTTCAGTAGTTACAGATATTAATAGCCACTACTTAACAATGTGGGAGTTGGTGTGACTCACAGTATGAATGGGTGACTGTGTGGGTATCTAATACTGTAATATTTGTCTGATGTGAGACAAAACAATCTGTGTAATTCCCTATTATATGTGTGACTCCACAGGTTAGTCAGTATTTTTTTTTGGTTCAAATCCAGTTGAAACGAGAACACTGCCTTATAGCTCAAACTCACAGAAAACATGCTGAAGGCTTTAGTGAAAAGATACACAACTGAAATCAAGGTCTCAGAAAGATGGAGAATGATGATGATGGGGCAAGATTTTGAACCATCAGATCATAGAGTACAGGAACAAAAGTATGTGGATACATGGACACTTGTGTGATTTCTGAATATTTCATTCTAAGTCACTGCTGAAATAACAGCCTCCACGCCTCTGGTTTCGCAGTCGGTGTTCCAGTTCATCCTAATTGTTGGATGGGGTTGGGTGGGATTACTATTTCTTCTGGATTTGTGAAAGGGGGGATTGTTAAGTTGAATATTCCCCAAACTGTTGCACACTAGGGATGCATCTATCTAATCCTGATATCGACTCGATACTGACTCAAATAACTGGATCGGGTATCGGTGACATGGGTGGCGAGCTGTTCAGTTCAAACACATGCGTACTAAGCAATACATCAGCAGCACACCAGTAGACCTGAACATTTTGCTACGAGAACCAAGTTTTACAAAGTCTCCTCCTCACAGTGAGGAATACAGCTTATTCATTTTAAACCTGCATCGGCCGACAACCAAAGCCCAGGTATCGGGACTGAAAAGGTCTGATCGGTGCATCCCTATTTCGCACTATTGTCTAAAATAAGATTGCATTCTGTTGCATTAAGATTTCTCTTCACTGGATCTAAGTGGTCTAGCCTAAACCATGAAAAACAGCCCCAGAACAGAAGATTATGACTAATGATTAAAGAATACACACCTGGTAAGTCTCCTGAGCCGGACATGATTTTAATAAGACAATAAACGAGATCAACCAGCAAAGGACCTGTGAAAAAAGACAGAGAGAGGTATATGCCTTATTACATCTACATACAGAGGTAGTTTACATAAAAATGTAAAACTACAGAGTCTCTGCTACACACTTCTCCGCAGCAGGACTTCAATTTAAACAGATTAACACATTTGATATTGCATTCATTTTCCATAAATATCTACACGACTCAGATTTCAGCAGCAATGCAGCAAAGTTGCGGAGATACATAAAGCAGATTGTGAACAGGCTCCTACCTTCCCGGTGTTTCGCTGCGATGTGGATTGGCTGACAGCGCCAACAGTTACATTGGTCTGTCTAGGACACACAAAACCCACTGTGTGTAAGCAGCCAGGCCAGGGAGCAATAAGGAGACAGAAAAGGCAACAACAAAGGTCAAAATCAAATTTCAGCAGAGTCTTTGCAAACTTGAACATTTCCACTTAAATTATAAAAAATATGTTCTGTGGGTTTAAACAATGTGTGTGGTCTTCTATGCATCTTAAACATTAGAGACATTAAGTTTTAGGTGTATATGCCTGACAAGCATATAGTTATGGTGAGAAAGAGATACTGATAACAATAAAAGACAGATATAGTGGACATGTAAGACAAAGGGAGCTCAACTTCCATTACAACCAACAGACTACAGGATTATTCCAGAGGATGATGGTAGACAGGCTGGATTACATAATTCCTTCTTCTGCAGCAGCAGGGGCACTGCATCACTGACAGAGACCAGAATCTTAATAAAAGCTTACATTTTGTCTAGTGGGGTTGATCAAGCAGGCCTTTTTGAACAAGGGGCCACTTGTGTCAAGCGGCTTGTTATACAAATATCCTTTGAACAGACACTGCAAATATTTTTTATACTTTTAGTCTGAATCCAGGTTTTAAAAAAGAAAAGAAAAGATGCATGTGATATGAACATATACATGAACACATATTCACAGAAACAATCATACAGGAAGTGTAGTAAGTATGAATGGATTTATTTCTGTGCTTTTGTATTTGTGTATTTTGTAATGATGTTGTATGTTTTTCTAATGGACCCGAGTCTGACAATAAAAATTTGAACTGAACTGGATACATGGAGAGATGAGTTTAGGTGCATTAATTATTTTTGACTGCCTAACAGTGATGAACTAAACGAGGTTTAGACCTCTATATAACCACTTGTATGTTGTCTATATTGTTATTATTGTCCGTTTAGTGTAATCACATCAGACAGTGAAATAAAATAAATTTACAGCAGATAAATGTAACAATTTCTGGTCAACTTTAATGTTAACGTTATCCACGATTGAGGCCAGAGCCACGTATTTAACGTTAAACACACGAAACTCCATTCAGACATTGGGCCTTTTAAGGTATTTTACAAAGGGTAACAGGTACATTAGTGTGTCATGCTTTTGGTATTCAAATTACTTTATGGTGAATTAAGCAAATATCTTTAACATTTAAGAGCATTTATTATCGAGTAAATTGTTAAAGGCCGTTTGTTAGTGTGCGTTTCAGTGAGGGAGGAAACACAGAGGAGCCGGTTTTAAAACGTACATTTTTACTAAAATAGGCACTTTAGTCGTATTTTAAGTCATCCCGAATTGAAGAATGGCTTCGATACATTTATAAAATGTCTTAAACACTTACATACGTCAACCAAGAAGCGTTGCGTCGTTTAATGATCTATTTTACAGTGTAGTTTGGTGGTGGCTTTAGTAACGTTAGGATCGCCCTGCAAGACAGCGGAACCAGTCGGCGCTGGAGGAGACGAGATGCCGCGGACTGACGACGTTTCAAAACACAGTGTTGGCAGCATAATCTGCCTTATTTTCTCTCACCGGAGGTAATGGCGGCTTCAGAGCGAGGACTGAAACATCGGTGACCCGTCAATGGCGACTGGACAGCGCAGAAAACAACGAGGTTGTTGGGCAACAGCCATTATTGTCCGTCCGGTAAATAAACGGTTGCTCGATAGAACCGGATAGAAGGTTCAATGACGTTCCTTGTTCTCGCGAGAGTACAGCTCAAACACACACACACACAAAACACAGATACATGTGTAATATTTTAAATAATACAATAGCCTACATTTCTAAAACTCAGCTCATAAATACAAAATCTTATTTCATCCATTCTATCGCCGTTTATCCATAACTTACACTATTTTAAAAACACCTAACCTTTTTGTATTTGTCAGTAAATTAAAGAAAATATATTTCTAACTCAAGTTAAGCTACTATATCTAAGACAAGAATGGACAATGATAAACTCTTGGATATAATGAGCAGAGGCCTACACGCAGTGAAAATGTTTTGAGATACTGGTGTTGAAATACAGGCAAATGCAGTGGTGGAAGTAACTAAGTACATTTACTCAAGTACAATTTTAAGGTATTTGTACTTTTGTATATTTCCATTTTGTGTTACTTACCTCTGCTCAACTACAATTCAGAGGTAAATATTGTACTTTTTACTGCACTATAGTTTTTTGATAAATTCAGTTATTCCAGACCAGATCCAAAAATGGATGTTACAAAATTATTGGCACCCTCAGATTAATAACTAACGTGGAGAAAATACATCCAGACTCCCTGCTCATTGTTCTCAGGGACTTCAACATAGCAAACCTCAGCCATGAACTTCCAAAGTACAGACAGCATATTAAGTGTCTCACCAGGGACACTAACACACTGGACCACTGCTACACTACATTAAAGGACACATTCTGATAGTGAAACGAATCACTTTGCTCGGGTTGTGACGGTCAAATATACTGATCCACTGTAATACAGCTGCTGGTTTGGCCGCTAGTAAAATTTACTTCAAAGCACGGAGCACTTCTTGTCAGCTGGGAGGCATTGCGAGGCTACCTAGCCAACCAATCACAGTTCTTACGGTCTGTGTCGCCTCAACGTGTAGTTCCATTTTTGAGGAGATGCACGTCAGGCTACGGCATAGCCTACAGCGTAGAGTACAGGGCTCCACAGAGGCTACGCCGTCAATTTGACACAGGAATATAAATATAAATCGCACTTAAAGAGGTCAAAGCAGCAAAGAGGAGCTACGCTGGAAAGCTCACTCACTAACTACAGGAGACCATCTCCCAACACTGCTGGTACTCAACAACTGGCCGACGAGCTGAATGACTTTTATTGTAGGTTTTAAAAGCCCACAGTCACACCTCTCCCCAGCTCCAACACCATCTTCAAACAGTCACCTTCCCCCACTGCCACGCTGACACTCCCCCTCTCCGACCGCTCACCTGCACTCACGATCTGTGAAGAGGATGTGAGTCAGCTCTTCCAGAGGAAGAAGATCAGCAAGGCTCCTGGCCCAGACGGTGAGTCACCATACTGCCTGAAAATCTGTGCAGCTGGCCCCCATCTTCACACAGATCTCCAGCAGATCACTGGAGCTACGTGAAGTTCCCTCAGGCTTATCGCCCTGACATCTGTAGTCATGAAGTCCTTTGAAAGACTGATGTTGGCCCATCTGAAGGACATTACAGGCCCCTTGTTGGACCCCCTGCAGTTTGCCTACAGGGCTAACAGGTCAGTGGATGATGCTGTCAACTTGGGACTGCATCACATCCTGCAACACCTCAACGCTCCAGGGACATATGCAAGGATCCTGTTCGTGGACTTCAGCAACCTCAGCACCAAACTCACCCAGCTCACTGTGCCAGCCTCCACCTGTCAGTGGATCACAAACTTCCTGGCTGACAGGAGTCAGCAAGTGAGACTGGGGAACATCACATCCAGCACCCGGACTATCAGCAATGGCGCCCCCCAGGGGAGTTCACATGACTTTTAATCAAGAATGTACAGATTTTTACATGTACATTCCTCCCACGGGCAGTTCAAAACCAGAATATCTCATAGATCTCCAATATGCTAGCTGGAGCTCACGTTTCTCACTGAACAACAGAAAGTAGGAAAGTGGTAGCTCTGTAAGAGGAAATGAAAGAGGAGGCATTACAGCTGTTCATTTGTTATGATGTGTTGAGTGTTTATTATAAAATTGGTTAAGACTACACTTCATCACTTCAAGCTACACTTTTTATTACATTTTTTCTAAAAATTAGGCACTTTAATTTAGTTTACTTAAATTTAGAATTTATTATTTGAATAGTTATTATTTATTATCCTTCCAGTTTGATTTGAAAACTGACTGAAATATTATTTGATTTGACAGTCCGTTGTTGACTAAAAACATGTGTTGATACAACTATAGGTTATAGTACTGAATGATAACGCAAGTTCGTCGTTTTGATGTTCCGGACCTTTGCTTAGGGAAATTTTCTCTAACTGAACCTCTTTGAAATCTAATTGAATACCCCTGGTCTACACCAACAACTGCACCTCAGGAGACCCATCTGTCAAACGGTGATGAGTCGGCCTACAGACGGGAGGTTGATCAGCTGGCTCTCTGGTGTGGTCAGAACAACCCGGAGCTTAACACGCTCAAAACTGTGGAGATGACCGTGGACTTCAGGAGGAGCCCCATACTCAACAGCCCTGGGTCTGCTGTGGAATCCTTCAGGTTTCTGGGATCCACTATATCAAAGGACCTGAAGTGGGAGCCCAACACTGACACTATCATCAAGAAGGCCCAGCAGAGTATGTACTTCCTGCGCCAGCTCAGACAGCTCTCAGTCTGTCTTGTTTTTGTTTACAGTGTGTATATGTGTTCTCTGTAGCCTGTGTCTGATTTTATTATTGTATTATTGTATCAGTAAGCACATTGTGAGCAATGTACAAACCTGAGTCAAATTTCTCTTATGTGTATCTGGCATTAAGCTGATTTTGATTCTAAATCTGATTCAAATTGTCAGCACCTGTGAATCGCTACAGGTGAGTATAATTACAAATTACAGGAGCATCACATGCTTGAAAAATACAGCTATTTATGAATATTTTGAAAAAGGTGCTTTTTAGGAGTTCTGTGTAAAATGTCTCAGATTTTGTTCCAATGCAAACAAAAGAAATAAACATGCAGAATACCAAAGCATTTGTAATTGCAACCATTTTCTGGGAGAATGTGACATATTTTTTGACCATGACTGTAGATTTTGGTGCAAAAACTTCTGTACTTTTACTTAAATAAAAAAATGTAATGCATGATCTTTACTTATAAGAGTATTTCTACACGTTGGTTTGGCTACTTCTACTTGCATGGACAAACGCATGGATAATTGTGAAGTTGCCTGTGACTGCACCTGTACTAATACCATTAACAGGTCACTTTTGTCTGTATCATTAGTGGCTGTCTGTCTCCTCCTATTGGCTGGTTCAGATTCAACAGCTTCTCTATCTCTACCTCACCTGCTGTATGTTCTTCATATATATTCAGGTAGCCTATATTCATTTGGGTGCAGTTTAAAATGCCGAATGCATGTGGAGGAGCACCTGGCGTCAGCACCATTATACCTTTGAGCATGTATGCTCATGTCAGAGCAGCCAGGTAAAACTCTCTGCCAGCACTTTTGACCTCCCACCCCGCCCAACTCCTGATGCACAGAGCAGTATTTGCATACAGCGGATCAGACCGCCTCCCTCAGTAGTTTGTGTCCCTCCTCTTCGTGGAAGGACTCCTCTAACCGGACTTTCCTCTCTAGTTTGCACAGAACAGGAGGAAGTTTAACTTGGGCACTTCACCTCTGCGCTGAAAAACGCTCACAGGAAAACAACCCGAGGAACCTACGCGGGTTTTCAGCGACTTATTCGCTTAGAGAAACTTCCAACTTTCTGTTGTTGTGTTTGTTTTTCTGTCGGGTTTGTTGGGGGTCTAAGCTGATCCGCTTCGCCGATTCATCAAGATGTCTGTCCAGTCGAGCCAGAAGACGACGACGACCTACCGGACCGTGAAAGTGGCCTCTCCTGAGCCGGTGACCAGCAGGGTAATCTCGGCCGAGTCGGGGTCTCCGCTGCCGTACGCGCTGAACGGCTCCTATGAGACGGTGCGGTACCTGGTCCCGGTGCAGCAGGGAATGCAGCAGCAGCAGTCCTACATCCCGGTGCAGCAACAGCAGTCCTACATCCCGGTACAACAGTCCATGCAGCAGCAATACTACCTTATACAGCAGCCTGTTGTGCAGCAGCCTGTGATGCAGCAGATGGTGTCCCCGGTGTACCTGCAGAGTCTGCAGCACCTGAGCGTCAGCAGCCAGGAGTCCGACATGATGTACCAGCAGCAGAGCGCCATGGAGGTGAGTCCAGCTTCTTTTCCAGATGCTTGTTAAAACCATTAGTGTTATAAGCGAGGCTGGAACCAAACCTTTGGGGCCCTTAATCGAATGGGACACGCCCATTAATAACCTGAACTTGCAAAACAGTAGGCTAATAAAACATAACAAAGAATGTGTTTTACTGAACAAAAACCAGCATACAAGCTGCGTTAAGTAACTGTAACCCACCAAACGCCTGCAGGCCAGGTGGTTTTCTTTGCAGGTGTAATGTAGTCATTTGGGGCCCTTCTAGGCTTTAGGTAAAGCTGATAAGTAAGTAGGTACAAATGGGGCAAGGGGCTGTAGGCTATATATGAGACTAACACAAATCCCTTTGTATGATCATTTTATTATTTATAAACACTTTCTGTGTTTAACTCTTTTTTGTTGCTCTTTTTTAAACTTAATTATTCAGTTGCTTTCTGTTCAAATGTGTCTAAATAGCACAAACATGGACTCACAAGCAGCTTGTTTATTGGGCAGAGTTTGGTGAAAGCACAAGACCAGATTCCAGTCTCTGAAAGTCAGCTATAGCTGCCTGCTCTCTTTATTAGAGATAAGAAGAACATAAAGATAAAGAGCTGAATTTGAGCATCAGTCCTTACATTGCCAGCATCTTTCTCTAGAAGCATCTTTTTGAGAAAGTGCGCACCCATAAATCAGTTCACAGTTTGCTGTTAAATGTTTTAGAGAGTTCATTAGTTTGTCAGTCATTATTTCAGTTGTCAGAGGAGGCGTGGTGAAAGGGAATGAGCCACTTTGCACGCTGTCAGAAGAACATTAGCAGTGTAAGCCCACATAGCGATGACTTCATATTTCTGACACTGTGCGTTAAGTTTTCACAGCCTTTACTCAAAGATAAGTAGGTGGATATGATGGACAGAAAGCTGAGCTGGTGCTGTGGCTCTGGAATGCTTTCCAAATGCCACCAGTAGCAAAGAACACACATTAGTACTACATAAAAGAGAAAATACACAAAATCACACACCATGTTAGGAGACACCTGAGAATGACTTCATACAGTGATGCTGCCACAAGAACGTAGGCGTTAATAATCGTTTTCACTTTTTAAATTTGTTTTGAGAAACTGGGTGTGATGAGTCTTTTCAATCTGAGCAGTTATTTGCTCATTATTAAATATAGAAAAGCAGAATCATTGCTTTCCAAATTTTGTCAGGGGACCTTTTGTTGAATGTCATTTCCAATTAGTTGACTGACAGAAAGTAAATCGGCTAGGCCTACTATTTCTTTGTCAAACATGATAGTAGTAAACTGAATATCTTTGGGTTTTGGACCGTTGGTTGGACAAAACAAGACATTTGAAGATGCTACCTTGGGCTGTGGGAAATTATAATGGGCATTTATTACTAGAAAAACTGATGTATCGAGGAAATTAAAGACATAATAATTGTTAGTTGTTCCCCCACCTTTCTCTCTTTGTGTTCCCTGTCTATTTTGACTGCTGTCAATCAAAGGCTACAAATGCAAATACCCGAATCCTAATCTTTTAAACAAGTATCATAAATTGGCCCTGAGTGCCTGTTCAGATTCTTAGGCTTGTTTATTTATTCTTTAATCAGATGTCTCCTGAATAAAGTCATACCTTTGCTCAATTTAGCCTGTGTCCTTCTTGGCTGATGCAGTTGACTAGTTCAGCATATTTTGTTAAGTAGAAACAGAAAACATTTTCATTCCTAAGTGCAAGGTTTGGTGCTGAAATTAAGGTATACCGCATCGGCATGGGTATCAAACATTTAATTTCCATTAATTGGGTTTTCAGGTGTTGTCTTCCCAAGTTTTTGCCTTCATTTATCTTCCTGACAGAATGAGCTCTCGTGAAGTAAACATGATCTGCTCACATTCACAGAAGGATTATGAAACTCGTGCCAATCCTGCCTTTTGCCAGTTGATTAACTGATTGTGTGACGCTGTACCACTGCCAAGATATACATAATGTGTTGTTAATAGTACGGTTCACAACGATCAATACAAACTGTACTGTGTTCACTCCCAGAGCTCAGGTTTATCGGATTTTCCTCCTCGTTTATTACTATTAACGAGGCGCCAGTCTAGTCCTGCAAAGGCTAATGTTTCACCAGCAAACTCTTCTCAGCTCAGATAAATAATCACTTCCTGAATGCCTTGGCCTTCGCCCTTTAGATGGTTTACACAAAGTCTCCACTGTAGGCGGGAAACATTTGAATAATTTCTGCTCTCTCACATTGTCCTCTTCTCACTCTCTGATAAAAATATTCTTTCTACCTCTTTTCTCAGCTCCTGATTTCATTTGATCTCTTCTTATAATTTAGTACACCAGAATATGTCAGAATTCCCTCTGGACCTTCCCTTTTGGCCTTCTCTGGTAATTGACTAATTCCTTAGTTAGTTCAGGTTAGTTTGAATCACTGCACTCTGTCGTCTGGTAAATTCGCATGAATTGTTTGATAGGGAAGCGGTACCACACCCGGTCTGAGTCGGCTGACGCGGCACACCCTTATGTTTAAAGACAAACACATTCTTCCACCTGGTTAGGTCACCTCTGGTGCATTGATCAGAACGTAGACCGCAATGCTTCTTCTCATCTTTTTGACTTAATTTGTTTGTGTTAAACCAATTAATTTATCAAACAAAACATTTCCTTATGCCTGCTTTTCAAATATTGGGATTTGCTCATTTGTTGTTCAGTTTTCTTGTTTGTAAATCAAATATCCCTTATCAGCTTTGTTTATCAATTAGTAGGAAAGTAATAAACAGATTAATTGATTAATATTGATTTGAGAAGACTGGTGCTCTGTATTTTACATTGGGAACCTCTCTAATGGATTAAGAGGCAAATCTGCTTTCTGCTTTATGGTATATTTTACTTGGCAAGAAATACACATCTTACCTCACCTGAATATGTTTTGACTGTTATTGGCCCCGATTCAGTTTTCTATCTTGCTAATACCTTTAGAGTGACATCAGGGCTAAGGTAACAATGGGGAAGATATGGCCAGAATTTTAGTTTAAAACATTGAAAAGAATGCATCAATAAATAAAATGTTCTGAAGTAGTAGTTCTGACGTTATGTCAAACACATCTGTGTATTGTGTTGCAGAGAAGTTAGCATGCTAACTAACTGAAAAGTGCACCTGTACTTTTGAAATTATTTGACACAATATTTCCCACTATGTTGGATAATGTTGGCCAGCTACAGACTGAACACTGTCATTAATCCTTATGTATTTCAACTCTTGCATTTTTAGATTTAGTTCATTTATGTGAAAATGAATTTACTTTGTGTACTTAGGGTTGCAAACTCCCTTAGCTGAAATTGCCCCTTGATGGACGAATGAAGTATTTTGAATTGAAAGTACATACAGTTCCAATCCATTAATTTTAGTAGGCAGTAACGACATGTAGGTTATGGCTGATTCAAGATCGAGATATACCAGATTTATTTTTAAATTATACATTTTAATATAAAAAGCAAACATTTAAATTGATTTGATTGGTTTGAAAACCTTTCTTCAAACTAAAGGATAAAGATGGAGTCATGCGTTGTGGGTCTCGTGGTCCGAGGACTGATGTTTAGCATTTTCTGTTCAAATCTGACAGTCTCTTCTTCCTCTCCCTCCGTTGTGTGTTATTTCAGAGCATCAGCACACAGTCTTCAGTATTCAGCCAGTCGTCCAGTCCCATGAAGAGTCCTGAACCAAGTGTTGAGGAGGAGGTAAGGACACACACGCACACGCGCACACACACAACTACAAATTCATCTCACCATTAAAGCCTTCTTACTGGTGAAACTCTGGCAACCACACAAGTATGTGTCCTTCACTAACTGTAAACTTAAAAAAGCAAAAACCTTGTTAGGTCTTGCCTTAGTTTAATTCATTTTTTTCTCATTCACTTTACTGTGTTTTTTGTGATAAAACACAGATGAAAACATGCTCAAACAAAGAAATCATTGGTGCAAATAAAGTTGGGGATAATCCTAAACATCTAATCTCAGCAACTACAAAAAGTTCTGGCTTTAAGTGGAAACCACAATGTCAGACACCTGATGAATGACCTTAGCGAACACAACATACTCTCAAGCCATTGAGCCTGTAACTTGTTGCAACAAGTGGTAATCCCTCTCTCTGGAAACGTCCATCGAGTTGATAAGACAAACTGAGACAGAAATCTTGCATCTGCACTGCAGTCTAGTCCAGAAGGTATGCAAAGATTATAGAAGGGTGGAAAATAAATAATTTGAAAGATAACTATATAAACCCAACAGATATAGCTATTTGGAAATCGAAACTATGCAGATAGACTATGAAAGTCTCAACATGTTTGAGGTAGAAAAGTATTTCAATAAGCACTTAAACAGTTAAAACTGGGCTACATTTGGTGAAAAATGAGTGAAACCTGTTTGACACTTGACACCTGAGTTCTCTTACTTTCAAAATCTTTTTTTGTGTTTAACAAATAACACCAAACTTTTTAAATGTTAAAAGTTGTGTTAACACAAGGACAACAGAATGAATAAGTAAAAATGACTATGAATCTGACCAGACATGAGATGCCAACTTTTGATAGCGACAGTTTGAGTGGCACCAAGAAAAAGTATTTAGGTTCAGTACCCGGCCCTGGTTACACACTCAGTGGCCACCTTAGCAGACACCCATCCAATTTAGCAGCTCTGCCATGAATTCTACCATTAAATAGTTTTAACGTTCATTGTTGGAAATGTGTAAATTCACTTATATGTGTACCACTGAGGTCGTAGTAAAAGGTGATGTTTTACTAGACATAATATTGGGAGGTGTTTCTAATTTTCTGCCACCTGTTTTCACAGACATGAGGGGGGCAGAATATTAGAAACACTTCGCAATGTAATGCAGTCCAGTGCAACATTACCTCAGGGCTAAAATAATACCTCCGTGACAGTGTCAAAAACACAGTTATATTGGATTGCATTAGACTTTATAGGTGTGCCTGAATAAAGAGTACTAAATTGCGTGTGAATTTTAAAATATTCACGTGTAACTGTAGTACCTGTTATGGGTGATCAACTAAGAATTATTGCGTAGATGACAACAGGAGCAAACACAACGGCAGGCGTTTTAATGGTTGGTTTGTTTCATTCAGTGCGTCCCGAGTATGTGGAAATCGTATGTACCTGCCCATCCTGCCTAAGACTGCAGTATGTACTTGGGACAGCACACCGGAAAAACTGTTTTGGGAAACCCCAGCAGAAACATCTAGCCAGAGAGAACAGTCACCGACCGTCCGCAGCGTGCCCGGTCGCTCCACAATCTCCTGGCCCTGTACGCCCCACTCCCTCTCTGCCACCTACAATGGGTTGTGCTGCTATTACGACCGGTGCGCTGTGAACAGTTGGTGATTGTTCCCTCTGGCTTCTCACAACAATAACAGAAGCCTGAGCAACACTTGGCGGTTTGCACCTTCCTTTCAAATGTATAAAATACATTTGTAATTGCTTGTAGGCTTGTTAGATCACATTGGGTGTAGTAAATAAAGGTATGTGCATGTTACCCTCCCATTACTTTGCACAATAAAATTGAAACGCCCCAAATTGCATATTCATTAGCGCAGGGTCAAGGCTTTTGACCTGCAAAGGCTTACAGAAATAGTTGTTTGTCTAATGGTTCCAGTACAAGCTGAGCTGTTTTTACTTCTCTGCACTTTTGCATTTAATTTAAGCTGATAATTTGATGAGTGTTGGAGTATGAACAGTATCTTAATTGAACAGTATGGTTAATATATAGTGTCTTAAGTTCTCTGTCTCGGTAAAATCAAAGCCTGTAGTGTGATTTGTGCTCTTGCTTCATATCGCCAGGTGCTTGAGCTTTTTCTTCCAAAATGAGACACAGAAACGAGTAAAAAAAAATGCAGAGGGGGTGTGGAGTCCATCTGTTGGTTGTGTGCACACACCCATCAGCATGAAACCTCAACATGGGAACATATCGGTGTGTGAAAGTACAGTAGCACAACAAGTGTTTAAAAAAACTACCCAGGGAGACTTGCTGAACACCAGTGCTGTGTTTATGTGCAGTCACACCCTGCCTCCTTATTCAAACGGTTACAACAGGACTTTGTTCATAATCACAGGGCCTTAAACTGTCGCAACACTGACAAACCATTTCAGGGTGGGTGTTAAATTTGGGTGTGTCCAGCTACTTCCCGGAGGCCCTTTACTCTGGATGAGTGCATTCCTTGGATTTGAACCTGCAGCGTCATGTATATGGCGGTTGTCAAAGGAGGGAGGTCCTTTGATTTATAACGATCGTCGGCGGCTCTTTGATGCCGTTTTTCTTTGCATGTCTTGACAGAGTCATCACTGCGTTGACGTGCGCAATGTAAACTCAGTTTTTATTCTGTTCATTTGTTGAATAACTTCATTGTTGTCATGAGTGACAGTAGTATTCACATCTTATCATCATCTCAGGTGTTCTCCCAAAAAGCATTTCATTTTGTCTCTGAGATCATTTTAGCAGCATAGTGGTCACTTTATGATTTTATCGAATTTAACTGCTTTAGCTTTCTATCTAATTATTTAATGTATAAAATGTTACAAAATAGTGAAAAATGTCCATCGCGGTCACACAGAGCCCAAGGTGACCTCTTCATCTTCATATTGATATTGTTGCTCGACCAACAGCCCCGAACCCAAAGATGTTTACAGTTGCAACAGAGAAAAGCTGCAAATTGTCTCATTTGAGATACTGGAACCAGCTAGTGTTTGGCATTTATTCTTTTTTTTTAATTGCTGTCAATCAAGGCTTTGCTGATTTACAAATGAATGAATTAACTAACCGTTTGAGCAGTAAATCCCTTTGTCACCAGTTTTGGGGCAAAAAATGTGTCATTTATAACACCTGTTTGGATTTTCTGAGCATTTTGATGGACAGGTTTGTTCAGTTCATCTTTCTATTGTCCTGAAAAAAATTGTCCTTTCAAAAACATACAAAACATTAGGACAAGATGCGACAATAATCTATATTTCAATACAACTGCAACAAAAAGGAAGGTTGTGCTTTTTGTGCTATATTTGAATTAAAATGGATTTCTTGTATATGGAATATAAGAAAATTTGAACCTGTTGCACCTAATTTTCTGGTAGCTATTATCTCTGACCATAGTCCAGATTGGCTGGGAGGGAAATTTACATTATATTTTTTTAACAACTTTTTCATAATGTCATTTTTGGTTGAAAACTGTGTGACCACTTCAGCAATGTGATTGAAGCCTTTCAGGTCATAAAGCTCCAGTTATACGGTATTTATTTTTTCTTCTTTGTCCTCTAAAACACAAACCTTCAAACTAAACAAAGTCTGAGGTGTCCCCTCAGATCCCCTTACATAATCTGCAGGGTGTGTGCTGGAGTCACAGCTGGCTCTAATGCCTCAGCTGTGTCAGCTGCATCTTCAGGAAATCATTTGGGCTTGTCAAGCTTCAGCCAGTAATTGTCAGGTGATCTTTTCAGTGAGGCTTTCTTTGGATGATTGTGTGACGTGTGTGCAGTGAAAGCTGTGAAAGTGTCTGTGCTGTTTGATGACTGACAAACACTAACTTCACCTGAGGGGGAAAAACTCTGATTGTTGGCCTGCAGATTGAGGACAAGCTCCACAACATTTTCATGAGAAAATGTAAAGACTTTTGAAGTGTAGATATACAACAAGAGCAGTAGAAAGAATTCATGTGATGTGACACACCCTGTGGCAAGCAGAGATGGATTTAGAGGGCTCCCTCGTGAATGTGTCAAGGGGTAATATACTGAACGTTGTTGTTACTTTTAAAATAAATGCAAAACTTGGTAGCTGTTTTCGCATCTGCGAGCTGCAACATGTGGTGTCACAGAGTTTGTCTATTTTTAGAAAATTGAGATGCATATAATAAATAAATAAATAATTTATTAAAAATAATCAAAGTACAGTGTGAGAATCCAAAATAACTTTTATACTGACAAAACAGTCAAGTTGTTCACATTTTGTTGTAGCTTGAGTTAAATCCCGTTTAATGCTCCTTTTGACAACAGTGACTGAAAAATATGTTGCTAAAACCAACACACATGATTGATTAACAATGAGGATCAGTGATCACTGTCTGAGTGGAAGGTGTGGTAAACTAACAATGCCAGAAACTGACTTTGGTTAACTGATTCTTCTCAAGCTCAAACTGTAGTCCTGAGGTTTATTTTCTTAAGTCAAACTTGGAAATAAATAACAAACACAGGAGTTACCCATATTAGATTTGTTCCCAGCTAATTCTCCACAAAAACTCTTGCATGAAGGTGGCAGATCAAAGAGGTAGAGGTGAGGACAAGTTTCTAAAATGTGTACTACAGCAAAAACCGTACCAGCTACAGAGAAAGATTTAACCTCCTCACACACACTGAGGGTGTGGGGGGGGGGTGTCCTCTCTGAACTGTCTTATTAAGGTGACACGCCGTCACAGTTAGTTAAGTCAGTCAGCCTCTTACCACAGGTAATGTGAACTTTTAAATCCTAAGTGTCTGGCTCTGCCTGCAGCTGTAAGCAAATCTTTACAGGTCTGCACAGGCCGGAGCTGCAGCCGTACAAGTTAGGAACCACCTGACAGAGAGGCTTTGATGCTGGTGCAGTATTCACATAGCAAAAGATAAACATAATGCAAATTTATTAGCCTCCCTAAACAAACCAACACAACTGTTTGACCAGTCTGTTTCCTTAATATTTGTTT